GCCTTTCAGATCCAGACTACACTTCCCCCCCCCCACAATAGACTCTTCTTACACATTATTAGATTCCCTATTCCATCTTCTTCAATCAAAAGACCTCAAACTTAAATATACCTTCAGTACGTAAGGGGAGCCCACAAAGAGGAGGGGAATCAACTCTTTGAAAGGGTTGATAACTGCAGGACAAGGGGAAATGGCTTTAAGTTGAGGGAGAGGAGATTTAGGTTGGATGTCAGGGGGAAATTCTTTACAGAGAGAGTGGTGAGGTGCTGGCACAGGCTGCCCAGAGAGGTTGTGGATGCCCCATCCCTGGAGGTGTTCAAGGCCAGATTGGACGGGGCCCTGGGCAGCCTGGTCTGGCATTAAATGTAGAGGTTGGTGGCCCTGCATGTGGCAGGGGGGTTGGATATTCATGATCCTTGAGGTCCCTTCCAACCCTGGCCATTCTGTGATTCTGTGAAACCACCTCCAGCTTTGTTTCAAGCTGCTTCACTCTGATGACCTTCTATGTGCTAACAACACCTGCTGCCCAAAGCATTCGTCATCAGTGCAGTGCTGCTTTTAGAAAGATGCCATCTACTGCAAAGTTTAACTAGTACAATATAATTCTTGCTTTTTACATCCACACACTGAAATTTCAAATTCTAAGTGCCCCAACTGAACAGAAAAAGCATGCATAAAAGCTGCAACACTGGGTCAAAGGTGACAAGACCAAAGTGTCCAATTCCACGTTATCCTATGCATAATGAAACAGTTGAAGCTGTCTTCATTCCTCCAGCAAATGTACAAAGAAAACCCTATTCTGTTGGCCTTAAAAGCTGCAAAATAATGTCAGGAAGTAACACCTGATTCTTGCTATTTAATATTTTTTAGCTTTAGTCACCCATACAGTAAACCACAAGCAGCATGTTAAATGATGATGTAGCAAAATGAAGATTTTAAACGCTTGTCAGGTCTGCTGAGTAATACAGCTTAACAGACTTCATGGCCACTGGGTGTCACACATACTGTGAACATAACCAATGCTAACAGACAGCTTACCATTCAAAAAAGCATGTTCCCTCTTCACAATGGGAAAATGCTCTTGTCTAAGAAGGCCTTCCGAGATGCAGGTGGGAAGCTGATCTGCCACAACTGGTTTCATTGAGTACATGTTTTGCAGAAGAGGACACAAGCTCCAAGCATGCTTCTGCTGTGACAAATCCTTCCACAAGTCCCCATGTTACCACATGCCCCCAGGTCACAGTTCTCCCCTCTGCCAGGGTCGTGTTTCCTCTCTGAACTTAAGGGGAGGTTCCTGGAATTCTTTTCAGATAATTACAACACTACATCACCTCATGAATGGATTTCACATCATCTTCCATAGCTTCACCGTAAAATTTAAATACAGTGAGAAAAGTAGCCCTTCTGTAAGAAATCCCACCAGGTTCCCTTGTTCACCAGCTCTGACCAACCCAAGGTGCTCAGCAATCACTTTCCAGAACTGAACATTCTTCTGGACAACTGCATTTACAGCTGGTAGTTTTTGTGTTGCTGACAGCTTGTTTACCTGCACCTAACCCTCAAAATACAAGCAGTTTTAATTTTACAACTGAAGGAAATTACAAAAACACATTTTATCCTTATTTCCACATAACAATTCAACCAGGGACAGCCACTCAGCTGGTCTGAGCTGAGAACTAAAACTGCCTTTCTGTGAAAGCGTGCAGGCGGAACACAGGTCTCTGCTGGAAAATGAACTCCACATACAGCCACTCATTTCTTGCCAAAACCCGTAACTGGCACCACTTCAGTACCTCAAGTACCAAAGCACATAACTGTATGAAGTCACCTTTCTGTATGTAAATTGTCTGTTAACAACAGGTGTGACTAACAGACATTTTGAGCTATCTGTCCTTCACACTCACAAGCAAATCTATGTAAACTTGACTCCAATGCACTGCACTGATGGCAGTGCTCCATAGTGTAACATACACTACAGGGCTATCAATCCAAACACCCTCAGAGTGAAAATGTGAAAAAAGAGTGAATGAAAACTGTTAAAAGTTACATGCTGCATATGTCACTACTGGAGTTTTATTATCACTGATGAAAATTCCTTCTCATTCATTTGAGAAAAATCAGTGAATTTAGGAGCATAAATACTTTAGAAGTTAGTAATAAATTTAAGCACCCTTCAAGTGCTGAGAAGGTGAAAGAATGAGGTAACTGGATAGCCATTAACCACGTATTCAAAGAATGGAGAAAACTCAGTAATCGAGCACTGCAGTGGAGAGTGAATCCTTCTCCCTTCTCTGTACTTTCCCAACACAACAGAGCATTGGTTTAGCTATGCTGGATAGCAGGAGGCTGGACAGACAGTAAATTCATTTTTCATGCCGTGTGTTTAACAATCCTCGTTTATTACACCTGCCTCAGCACTGAGTGGTCCGTACAGTGCTGAGCTGAAAACACTGGACACAAATCCTAACACAACACAACTGCTATGGAGGTCCACTGCGCTGCCTGCTTGTGGATAGCTAGCAACCGAGGCTATGCTAGAACAAGCTTTGCAGACAGCTTCTGTTCAGGTTGCTCACCCATGAAGGCAGACAACACAATAAAACGTGCTCGTGAGGCTTTTCCCTTCAACTTGGTTTATTGATGTACTGAACATGAAAAAGTACAAAGAATCCAAACACAAAAGAAAACATGTACAACCTCTTTAAATACTCAACAGAATATATTTTCTATTCCAACAGATGTGAATTAACTATACATCTTCAAATAAATACCAACCTTACATTTTACTAAGTGCTCTGATAACACTGTAAAGTGAAGCCCAATTTACATGCCTTCTCATCAATGCCGTTGTTTGCTAGAGTAGTATAAGGAAAGAAGCACGTTGCTACTGTTTTCCCTATATTGGAAAGATTGTGTTTCCTATAGTATATACAATTTAATGCAGAAGAGCTTTAACAATCTAAATGCACCTAAGAACGAGGAAGTGCTCACAAAGCCAATTAATTTTCAAATAGCATTGAGGGGTCAGCATGAAAACTCGCTTACTCACTTTAGCACGCGCTTCACAGTATATGTACTGTACTATACTGAAAAATTTATAACTACAATTTAAGAGAAGAACCAAACGCAACTGCAAAGATAGTGTACAACTATGTCTATGCATAGAACACTGCTTTTTTCTAAGGGGAAGCATATGAGCATCTCAGTTTATACAAAAAGCAGGATGTAACTATATAGTTGTCAGTGCATCCTGGCAAAGGCATCAAAACCCTCAGCTTTTTTTTCCTCCTCAAAAATTTAATGTAAGCTAGATGCTACTCAGAAAATATTCTGTAATTCTTTAATTTCTTCAGTACATGGTAAAGACTTTCTATGTCCCCAAGTAGTGAGTTAAGCATTATACAAAGTTAAATTTCAGTAGCATACAGGTGTTTATGGGTTTTGTATGAAAAATGTAAGGAAATCTGTTCAAAACTTATGATTATACTTGTTTTTAACCACAAACATATTTATAACCCAAAATGTAGCATCACTATAAACAGCTGAAGCTAGACTATCTACAGACAAAAATAGCAACAGACCTGATGCACTGTAAATTCAAGTCCCCAGGACAACAAAAATGAAGAAGCAGACCTCAAGTAACAATGTTAATGCCATTTACAAAGAAAAAACTCATACAAAAACATTCAGAATTGACCATCACTTGGCATGTAAGTTGAAAAATAAACAGAAATCCAAATTAGCTGAAAGGTTCTTAACTCAAGATCTTATTTACATTACACAAAGCTCAGGTGTTAGCCTTGAACATAACTTTCAAAATACCTCCAAACACACCCAACTGCTGTGCAACCCATGCACAATGTCTTTTCTTAAGACAAAACAATTCTTCAAACAATAGCAAGTACATCACTAAACACCATGAGCTCTATCTGAAGGGAATTCTTTAGGAAGAACAGATTTTTTTCCCCCATTTTTTAGTATTTAAGTTTCCTGCTTGCTCTTATATAGATTTTTTTTTAAGTTTACTCTTGTTTCAAAATCACAAGTTAATGTGAGCTACTTATATAACCAGGATGATCAAAAACTTCACTGATGATTACAAAAATGAAACCAACAGTGCATCCCATCAACTCTACTTATTAATAGAAATGTCTCAAATTTATTTCTACATCATAAATCTTTCTAAATTTTCCCCCAACAACTGCAAATTTCCTGGTAAGTTTTAAAAGCTCACAAGGTGTCATATGAAGAGATTTCTCAAAGTATTCAAATCAAAATATTTGTTCCAGGACCAGTAAAAAGTTTCTCCAAATTTTTTTTTTTATCTTTTCTTTTTTATAAAAATAGATGCTTTTTTTTTTTTTTTTAAATCCACATCAAAGAGGCTCTTATCTCTTTGGCAAGGTACTGCTTTATGAAAAGTTCTCCAGTATTCTTACAATAAGGTTTTATAATGTGTTTCCCTACCCAACCCAAACACTAACTAGAAAATAAATACTGCGTATAACTTTATAAATAAGATGTGAACTTCAAATATGCTCAACAACAACAACAGCAACTCATCAAGTTGTAAATTAAACACATGGCAGATCAAGATATTATAAAATAAACTTAAGTAGTCTAACACACAGCCTCAAGTATTTACTCATAGGTTAATGGCAATCATGTAATAAAAAAAAAAAAAAACAAAAAAAACCAAAAAACTTCTTCCCTTAGCTGAAACATTTTAAAAGGTCCACCTTCTTCAAAGAAGGCAATAGAATGCACTGTAACAGGTAAAAACCCTGTACCTCTTTTCAATATTCAAACACAAAAGGTATTTAAGAAGTTCTAATTCAAACATTAGCAATAAAAAAATCTCACATATTCTTAGGATGCTAAGTAGTCATTTTATCCCCATATCCACACTGATATACAACAAGGCATTTACTAGCAGAAAGCTTCTCATAAACTGCCTTCGTTGTACAGATTTCAAATGTTAATGCACTGAGAATAACATGCTAGGCCTTGTGCGTTTTGTTTGTTTTAAAGGAGACCTGCAGCACTCTATCCCCAAGGCGGTATCCATTCAGGCTCGCTATGGCCATAGCTGCCTCATCATAGTTTGTCATCGTCACAAACCCAAAGCCTTTGCACTTATTGGTGTTAAAGTCACGGATGACTTTCACGTTGGTTACTGCTCCGAAGGGTCCAAACATCTGCCAGAGGATACTCTCATCAGCATCTGGGGCCAAATTGTACACAAAAATGCACCATCCGGTTCCTGCGTGTCCAGGGATGTTAATTCCAGCCAAACTGGTCATTCCATCTATGGTCATGGGGGGAAACCTACTGAAGAAAGAGGGGAAGCGAAATACAAACAGAGCAGCTGTTTTAAGGAAATCAAAAGCAAGGAAGTTTCAAAAAGAGGAAAGGATGGAGGGCTTTTCACAGGTAGCTGGGACTTATCGGCTGGAACAGTAAAGCAATTTGGGATTTTTATCATTCATCTACACAAAATACAGTGCATAGGATGACACACAGATGTGGGAACAGTGTTTGGTTTGGATGAAATGGAAGAACTAAAGAAAAGCGTGCTAGAACACCAGAGAGGATTAAGTCACTTGGAATATGGAACAAAAGCTTTGTCTTCCATGCACGGTGCACCAAAATGAACAACTTCAGATGAAGTCTCAAGAAGCAAAAATAAGTCTTAACGAAAAAGTAATGATAGTCAAAATATTTTCTCTTAATGAATTAGCTATTATGAATAGAATGGTTCATTATTACCTCTTTACTCCATAAGCCATGTTGAGCAGATTGTCCAACCTGAAAAATAGTCAGCAAAACTGTTGTAACATAAAGGGCTGGAAAAGTCTCGAGGAAATCTGGTACATTATTACCAGCTCCTCTGCACTGCTTCTACAGGTGCTCATTAATAGCTTGAATACCACCAATACAAAAATACAAAATACTACACAGTTAATGTAACACGAAACAGATGTTCTTATGTAGCATCCCCAATCTCAACTAATTCCGTTCAGAAAGGCTGAACTTACGATAGCTGTGTACCAAGTCAAATAATACCATAATAGCAGCATACAGTTGCAGTATGTACGCTTCAGCAAAACCTTCCAGATTACACATTTGTTTCTGATGAAGACTTTACTGAGACTTCTCTCAGTATGGTGACATGAATATCTAGATAGAAATAAGGTTCTGGAACACCAGCAAGTAGTGGAACATGCATTGCAAAAAAAAAAAATTATTATTTTTTTTTAACTATTTTTTACTCTTCTCTGGACTAAACTCCTTCAGAATACTGATATGTACAATACAGGCTGTGAACTTTCTCTCCATCTCTAGACCCTCTGGAGCTACCCTGCCAATATATGAAGCAAGCAGTGCCTTCTACTGCTATTATAATAACTTCAGTACTAAAATACAATCTGCTTCTCCAAGAAAAATGTATTCCCTAAAGAAGCTCTTATTTCTTCCTGGCAAAGCTCAGATGTGAAGAGGACACCTTTTGCTGAAAGGTTACCTCCAGGATGCCACAAAATTAAGTGAATAAAGACTTACATGATGTGGTTTTTAGCTTACAGCCATCTTGAAGATCCGTACCTCACCGTTATTTTTCTCCAGTAATGAACTTTAAGAACCAGTGGTAGTATAAGGAATCCAAAGCCAAAGACTGTAATTGCATAAGTCATGCACCAAAAAAATAAACAGTGAAATGAAAAACAATTTGGTCTTACTTGCAGGTAAGTGAGGACCAAACAACAGAATATCTTGATTTTGCAGTGAACAGGGTTTGAAGGATGTATGCACAAGACAGTAAGGCACTCATCACTAGAAGAGCTTAGGGAGAAAAGAAAACTGCCTGCCAACAATCAGCAGGCTTTGGGATTACATAAATCTACTCTCACTGAAGATCTGGAAGTAAGAGAAAGATGAATTCCAGGAATACCATCAGCTACAGGTATTTGCTGCACAAGGGGCTGAGGACTTCATACAGTAACCTATGCCAACCTAACTGCTTTCATCAGTTACTGGATGGCCTTAAGAGATTTGGGAAAAATGGAATTCACCTGACGATTTTTGAGGATGCTTTCAGCTGCACAACCTAAAGGATCTGAGGAGCAACTACAGGTAGGGCTGCTTTCAAAAGCCCAGACCAACATTTCCATTAAGCATGTTGTCAGTGCAAACTGAGCTACACCAATAGCAGCAGCTGAAACGCTGCAACGATGGCACAAGCAAATCCCAAATGTAAGACATCTCTCTTGAGTTACCAACATGTAAAATTTATCACGGCTGTCTCTTCCAGCAAACAGAAGCCTGAAAAAGAAGAATGAACTAATGTCTGTTGTTCCACTTTCACTGTCTGATCAGTTGGTTCTCCGTAAGCTCAACCTTTTACTTCTTCCACATCCACCAAGGAGAGAACTCACCCGTCACCCAAGGCATGCCTGATATGCACTTGATACTACTTGATACAATTATGCTTTTAAGAGGAGCAAATTGCAACACCTCCTAACGGTTGTTGCAAGCATTAACTTCACGCTTAACATCTTACCAAAACACATCCAGATAAATTTAAACTGGCATTCACAAAAATGCACTGTTTAATAAAGAAGAATCACAAACAACCAAAAATTTAAAAGTTTCAATGCCTGATGTTGCAGAAGATGGTTATTATATTGCAATTACATCATTCTGCTTCCCAAAAAAGCAGCACGAACATTCCCCAAACACTGAATACAAGCAGTATCCCTCAGTGCTGACCTCCAGCGCTGTTGAGCGCTTGTAGCACAAAGGCTGACAAGTTGGAAAGAGTCTGGAAGTTCTGCTAGAACACTGTCCATGAGCTCTGATCACTGGGACCTAAAAGGAAGGGTGGCCCACACAGAGCTTCTCAAGGCTGCTACGTTCTCTTCTTTCTAAGCACGCAGCAAGCTGATTTTGTTGTTTGTAAAATCCAATATCACACCTTGGAGTGTACCAACAGCACATTCCAGTAACATGGTTGGGGTGGGGGCTGAAAATAACCTATCAAAGTCACTGAAAACAGCAAAACACTCAGAAATGCAGGTAATACGTTTTGTTTCACTCTCCTCTTGCCATTTGTACTTTCGAATACATTGAGTCGTCATAAGGAACTATATGCTGCAGCTTCCACACAATCAGACATATATCCACAAAAACAGGTGCAAAAGATACCTGAATTTTGGAATATGGGAAGACACTAGCATGCACTCAGTAATAAGCCAGGATAAAATCTCAAAGACAGAATGGGGAAGAAGTACAAGAGTTGAGGAAGTGAAGGATGGCTGTGGCATATCATATGGCTAAGAGATATATTTAATTACCCATGTCACTGTTGACTGAATCAACTTTCAAATTAATGAAGAAAGCACAAAATTAAAAGCATCCTTAAGTGATTTGTACTTTTTAGTGACTGTCTACAGTAAAAAGAATGTTACCTCGTTTTTAACAATAAATACGTTTACTAGATGCTTTCCAGCCATCAACAGGTTGGAACACATTTTTCTCTTTCAGCTATATTCTTGGAGCATAGCTGCAGAAACTCCATGGGTTTCTTTCATACAAATCACAGAGGGCAGGAACAGGACAGAGAAGAAATCAAAGAGTGCAGGGAAACCAACAGGCCCCTGGGAAGATACATTTTCCAACTCAGTTAAACAGAAGTATCTTACTTACCTAAAACGTTGAGCCTGCTGAGCTAGAGGTGCTGGATACCTTCTGTTTGGAGAATGGTACAGTTGGGAAAGGATGGCTTGATTGGTTTTTTGGCTAGGATTGTTAGCAAACTTCACAGTAATGGGCTCTGTGGCAGCTGGAGGCTTCTGGCCGTTCAAGCCTTTGATAGCTTCTTCTGCCTCAATACGTTTGTCAAATCGGATAAACCCCACACCTCTTGACATACCTGCATACAGTGAAGGAAACTAATAAATTCAGAGGCACATTTGACAATATTTGATTCTCTCAACAAGTGCTATAAACAGTTCCTGAATTTTTAGCTTACTAGAACTGGTCATACACCGGTAGAAGACTTTTTAGAAAAGTGTTGCAGTGCTTGTTTTTTGGGTTGCGTTGGTTTATTTAAATTATACGAGGCAAGCTGCTTAGAAAGAAGCCATGGAAGGCTGAGTCAGAATATATGCTGAAACAGTCATTTTAGAGGAATGGAAGTGAACCCAGAATTGCAGAACTCGTTTGCACTGTAACCTCTGTTCAGTTGGTGCTACTCTGCAGTATCTAAGTGATTTACAGAACCCCCATAAATATAGTCTACTACTCCCTAGAAAGGAGAAATGCCTTATGTTCTCTTGCAGCATCCCTTGAAGTTCACTTTGAAGCAAATATGGTAGAAGAACACAAGAGCGTTCTAGGTTGCAGTAATAGGAATTACAGAACAAGTTTACTTCTGTAAGTGAAAGACTCCCTTTCAACATACAAATGTGTTTTTGTTGGGATGTTTTTGAAGGCAACTGATTTTTTTGGGCCACAGACTCTTCATGGGAATAGGCCAGTCAAAAATAACAGGCAGGGAGATCAGCACGTATTTATGGAAAGTCTTAGGGAAATAACTCAAAACCTCATCCTGCTGCTTGGATATAAACATACTGAGGTGTCAATACTTGCACCTACCACATTAAACCTTCTACGTCTAGTATTACTTTCTGTTGTGTGCTCAGTTTAACAGTCCTGAATCCATTTAGAAGCCTCTTACATTTCTGTTCATGAATAAGCAGGCAAGTTTGAAGTTTGTCCTCACTTTAGAAAGGCATTAACTAGAAGAAATATTCTGTTCATAATCAATGATAATTAAAGGAAAGTGACAACAAATGAACAGGCATAAGAAAGCTCTAGAGGCAAGTGTCACAGTCTCAACTTCGCATTTCTCATCCATCAGTTTTTGTCACAACCTTATTATTCATACCTTCTGAGTCTCTCTTCCATTCTTCTTAGCAACTTTGAAAAAAGCTTAACCTGAACAATCCATGTCAGAGAACCACTGTGTTCCAACTGGGATGAGTATGAGTACTTGGAATTACAGTAAACATTTTTAGAAGTTTATGCGTACTTATTAGCCCCCATCAAATGCCGCTCTTTCTGTGCAATATACAAAAGCACTCTGGAAGCAGTTATTTGTTGAACAAAGATTAGAAATATGTCCAGCAAATCTACATCTTCTACAAGTCAGTGCTTTGCATCTAACATTCATTTTCATGTTTCTCTCTCTCCTCAAAGTGTCAATATTGTGATTTATGTTAAGATAAGTGCAAAAGAAAAAAAAAAAAAGCCTGGGCAGTCAACTACAGGCCAGCCAACCATCAGACAATCACATACATGTAATATTTTCAAAGTAAGGTTATTTGAAAACTTTAAGCCAGCATGAAAGTTCAGCATAGATGTTTTACTGCCCTAGTTTGAAGAGTAACCACCAGTGTCACTGACATTCATTTACTTATTAGAAACACAACCTAGACTGTAACTCACCTTCTAAAGCTTATTTCTATTTATACATGTAAAAGACACTCTGAAGATATTTATATGGTGTGTGAATGTGGTTCCCAGGCACATGGATTAGTGGTGGGCTTGCTACTGTTATACTGACAGCTAGACTTTGTGATTTTCAGTGTCTTTTCCAATCTAAATAATTCTGTGGCTCTTTAAGGCATTGCTAAATGCAGAGTTGAACTGCTCCTGAGGAATTCAATATTCATGCTCTTCAGAGTGTCTCAAGTGACCAAGGCAACCATGAAGACAGTCTTAATAGCAACTAACAGTCCACACCTTTTGTAATTCAAGCCTCCAAGAACCAGCAGTGCATTTCTGCATAAAATTATTTTTTAAAAAAATACATAGTAGCATTTCATAAGGAGTATGGGGACTACTTTTACATAGAAGCTTGGAAAAGAAGATGATAGCAGCTGTAGATTTATTACAAGACATGAAACAGGATTCAAACCTGCACCTATGTGGTGGAAATGATTCAAGCTGGCTCATGATACTCCACAATCTATTTTTGTCCATTCATATTTATGAACAACTGTAGCAGAAGTTTCCATTTTTTAGCCCTTATACAGCTTTTATACATTTCAGAGACAAGACTACTGTACTGAAAGGTGAAATATTTTTCAAATTGCTAGTCCAAGAATGAGAGCACACAAAGCTGCCCACTTACCAGTGAGCTGGTCAACTAAAATACGAGAAGTTATAATGCGTCCATATTGGGAAAAGAGTTGTTCCAGTTCCTTCTGAGTCATTGTTTTGGGAAGTCCACTAACATACAAGTTTGCATCTCTGATAGAAGCTGAACTTGGTCGCGCATAGGAAACCTATGAAGAACATGAAGCAATAAACATGAACACATCCAAAATACTTGGAATAGAACAAACCACACTGTTCTGAGATACTGAAGTGTTTTTCAGGATAGACACTTCACAATGACAGCTGTAAGACGGGAATGCAACACAGATCAGAAGTTGATTGCATAAACTCATACGTAACCTGTAACTTAAGCAGTGTTCTTAATGGAAGAGAAAAGCAAGGTGTATATACACCAAATCTATATATAAAGTGTTATTTCTGAGCAATTTTAAGATTAAAGAGGATTAATACCTAAAAATACTTTAATATCTAAAACTACCATTAACAACAAAAAATACCAGGGATACAGTCTTTGACAATTCAGATATCAAAGCAAAGACAGTATGAAGCACTTACAGATCTGAAGATGTTGGAGTACTAACTCTGCCCACTCTAAATGTACAAAGCTCACTATCAAATGACATAAAATCACCCAGAAGGTAGAAATAAACAATCGCATTACTAAAAATGTGCAGCAGAAGAGGTAATGCAACAAGGAACAGCCTGAGCTGGAAAGGACCTCAAAGCCCACCCAGGTCCAAGTTTTACTTGCTGCCTCAAAGTGCTTGCCAGATAGAAATTTCGTAAAATCTATTACATTCAACTCTTAAATATATCATGCACAGTTACAGGGCTCAATATCTCCCAATGAAGTCCTGACAAGTTTTACCTGTTACAAAAAACACCACAACTGGGCACACACACTAGTGGAACAGGATAGAACAAATTGCTTAGGGGCTTATTTTGTACAAAATATAAGGGTAAAAGGATTCTTAAGGAGTAGTTAGATTTATCCCCTTTCTCCTCCATAATTCAGGCTCTGTGCAGCTGAAATTCAATTCCATAAATCTACCTTTTGCCTAGCCTTGAATCTATTTTCAGATGCTTCCCACTTCGTTCACACATAGGTCAAAGAACTATAAGGCCCCTGTGTAAGGTGAAAGCAAAACAAAAAGCAATTAAGACTGACTGCCCCAATACCTGAACAAGCACTATCCTCAGTGCTGTTTTAATCATACGACCTACTAGAGAGGCATTATTAAAGGCTGTCTTGCTGAATGGGGTTGACCTACAAAAATTCTATCTGTCCAACTTCAGACGTGCTCAAACACAGAACCCTATGAGGTGCACTACCTTCCCCTCTAACACAAAAGCCACACAAGAACTACAAAGGTGTCTTCAAAATCCTTGTTTTCTGGTGTCTAGCATAGGCAACTGGGAATAACAGCAGTCTTTCCTCATTTACTTTGAATATTTTAACCAAGGTGTTCAATTTCAACAGAAAAGCTGTCAGCGCCCAGTTTCGCAACAAACAAAAGTTCCCAGTTTACACAGAGTTTCAATCCTTCATAGAAGAATGCTCTTTACTGGAGCTGAGTCTACTTTCCTCTACATGCAGTTTCCTCTTTCAAATTCTAGAAAAATGCACTAAATCTAAATCAATTTTTTGGACAAATTGAAACCAAACCTCTGAGGACAGGCTGGAGGAGTTGGAGCTATTCAACCTGGAGAAGGGAAAGCTTTGTGGGGATCTTATAGGGGTCTTTCAGTACCTGAAGGGTGCCTACAGGAAAGCTAGGGAAGGACTTTTCAGAAGGCAGTGAAAGGACAAGAGGGAATGGCTTTAAACTGGAAGAAGGTCGATTTAGACTAGCTATTAGGAATCAACTCTGTACTTTGAGGGTTGTGACACACTGGAACAGGTTGCCCAGAGAGGCTGTGGATGCCTGGATTCCAGGATCCCTGGAAGCACTCAAGGCCAGGCTGGATGGGGCTGTGAGCAACCTGGTCTGGTGGGAGGTGTCTCTGCCTATAGCAGGGGGATTGGAACTAGGTGATCTCAAAGGTCCCTTTGAACCCAAACCATTCCCTGATTGCCTCACCATTTCAGAGTTCTTCTGTCATCCAGTAATATACGCTGACAAATATTTCTTTCTATTATATTTTTTCTTTCCTTCAAAAATTTCTTTTACGTGTTTTAACTTCTTCAATACACTGTAAACTAAAACAGTTCATTTTGTGGATTTTGCACAGCAGCTGGGAACTGATAGAGTTTCTATTACAATCAGTTTTTGCTAACTAAGAGCTTAGAGAGTACTTCATGAAAAGAGAACTGAGGATTATTCCTGGAAGATGATATGAACTACTAGCTAAAGTAAGACAAACACAGCAGGTGTGTTTCAAGGCATTAAATGACTGTAACCTGCCATAAGAAGCCTCTAATTATGACAATCATAGCACCAAAGTACCAAAATGGCTGATTACAGTTGCTTTGCAGTACCATACAACTAATTTATTCAAATACTATGCAATACTTCCATGTAAATCTTGATGAAATCTCATGAACTTGCAAACAAGGCATCAGGTAGCAGATGTTGAATAGAACAGCAATTGCATTCCTGTGCCTTGTGAAAAGCTCTTTTTTGCACATCAGAAGTTTATCAGGTCCTTCCAGAGAGGCAAACAACTGTTCACTTCTGAAAACTTTCTACTTTTGATTTCATATTCAAGTCCAAGTCACTGACATTAGCTCTTCCACAGAAAGACAGGCATGGAGAGACCTCTTATGTCACTGTGCTGTTTCTTATTACCGAACTACATGACCATTTTCAGATGAGCATTTGTAGAGTTAAGTATGATGAGCAGAACAGAACTACAGAAATGAAAATGAGGGGGAAAGCATGGCACTGAAATTCAAACTAACAGAAGAGGAATCAGGATTCAGCTACCACAGGCATGGCAGATTTCCTGACAGAGCTACATCAAATAACTGATTCTGGGCTGAATGGTTTGACACATGTTCAACAACACTTTTTGCATGTGGCAAATCTGCTATCACCACAGAGCTGTGAAGCCAAGACCCAGAACTTGCAAGCTGTGTCTGACACCAAGTTATTTTCTTTCTGTATATTCAACCTCCATTCTGCCTAACACCTGTATTTCCAAGAACTTCTGCTAGGTTACCCTTACTCTTTTATGAGCAAGAAATGTACACCTTTAATATTCCCAAGTGCACAGAGGTAAACTGAACCAGAGACAAGAAAACATACAGAGAATGAAGTTCTGCTGCATTCAGCTGAAAGACAGTGTCGGATACCCAAGAGGTACAAAAACGTAACAACTAAGGAAAAAGGTATTGACAAAGTTGCTGTGAGCTTCTTTAAGTAATAAAACTATGTTATATTTGGCAGAAATACCTTGAGGGGAGCCAGGCCAGAGCTGAGACAGACTGCTTGGCAGCAGCCTAGGCAACATAAAACCCTCACTTAAGTATTTCTGAACAGCTGAGTTCATGTCTGTTCTCAAAACGAACCCCCTGCACTCCCCAGAATTCAGCACCATTAGAACATAAAGGGGCAGAGCAAAATCCATTGTTAATGGAACACAGTGAACATTCCAAGTGAAATTTGATGCCAATGGAAGCAGGAACAGATAAGTTCTACTTTACTTAGAAGTTAGATGAAGAAAGATGCATAGCTGCATGAATCACTTGCACATCTCAACTTTATTGGTCTGTTTTTCATTCTCTCTGCAATGAAGGTAGACTGAAAGTTGTTTTATCCAGGTTGAATTAAGCTGTCAGATAAGTTTTGTTTTCTATATGCATTTGTTCATGTCCTCTAGAGAACAGTTAGCATTCCAGGCAGTGAGCATTGGATGGAAAAACAGTGACTTATCTTTACATGTTAAGAAGAAAGCTTACCAATGACCAAACATTTCTCTGCTGAGAGACTTAAAGAAAAAAAACACATTAACAACTTGTAGTTTACTCAAGATTAAATCTGCTGCAGAATTGCTGCGGCTAGCTTTGAACTCAGATAAATATATAACTCAACAGCTTTCTAAGCATGCATTTTTCTAATCTTAGAGAACAGGGGCTGCAAAACATAAACCTTGCAAACTACTTCTGAACAGAAAAGAAGTCTATATGAACAGAAGATACCCAAAAGCTTGCCTAGGACACACCTCGGGCTGCTACTGTTTTCCCAGACTGCCTTGACCTTGTTTCAAAAGTAGGTTATATAGTTCTTGACAGATTAAATAACTCAATTTTCTACACAATCTAATGTAGTGATTGGACTCTCCATCCAGCTGCCCATTGCCCAAATCATTCTAATTCAACACACAAGATGGAGTAAAACAACACAAGCAGAAACGAGAGCTGTTAGGAAAAGAGAAAGATGCACAAGAAGCTCTCTCAAAGAACAACCTTAGGTCGGTTCATTGACCTGTGAGGCACTATTTAATACCTGTTTTTCTCTTGCTCAGCCATACTAAAGTGGGCTAGAACTAAAGAACCATTGCACAAGGTCTGCTTGATCAGCAGTTCAAGTTCAGCATTGCAGAGAATGAAAATTCAACCTTTCTTACTCATACACTGGCCTGACAAATCTCCCTGCTGATGAGCACAACCCAGCAACAGAGGAATAGATAGCACAGTTCTCACAAATGAAGCTGCTGAAGCAGTATAGGTCTGGAAGCATGATGATGTCCCTAACTACAGCTGGTTTCCTGCTCACCGTCTCCAGAACGAACATGTAGCAGTATCATATGCTAGAACTGTCTCTGCCTAACCTTCTATCTTCCGTTCTCTGCTACTTCAATTTTGCATTTTGCTGCACAACATGACATGTGGCAAAGCATTCCCACAGTTAGGGCTCAATGGGTATTCCAGCAATGACAAGAAGCATCGTTTCCATACAGGTGATGTCCTCTCAATGAATGAGCAGCCAGGAAGCCAGTCAGTCATCTTCACAGCGCAAGAACTCTCTCCAGGAGGAGCCTAAGTGCTGGTGACTTTGGGCAGGAGGGTCAGTTCTCTACATACAGTTTAGGCTCCTCACCCCAGCAGCAAAGCTTTTGGAAAAAGCCGTAATGGGGATCAGATCTGTCAGAAGCTGAAGCTCTTCAGCAGTACTAGGAGACCAAGGACTGAGGAATAACTGTGGGAGATACACGATCTCATATT